AGAGTGCGAACATTGAACGCGGCCAGATTGAACGGGTGTCGAGGCTTGAGGACTGATCCGGAGATTCCTGAAGATGTCGGCACCATGTGACGAGCAGATGCTGCACGCAAAACCGATGCATGACGAACGGAGTCATCAGTCCTAAGTGCTGGGCCTACAAGGAGAGAGTTATTAATGGAGTGGGGAGAGGGGGAAGAAAAAGTATGTGAAGGAGAAAGAAGGGAGGCGTCAGCAGTAGCCTGTTTTCGCTTACCCGCCCTGCTGTATGCAGCAAGTAAGGCGCCCCGGCTGATGGCACCACGCGACGGCCGATGTGGCATGAGTTCATTTGTGTATGTGCAATTCGTGGTTGTACGTGGGCTGGGATACAGTCAGGGCGCCCACACCTAGACAGGAGGACGATTAGGGTCCTCAACCAAAGCCTTTGGCTCAAAAGCCTAACCGCAAGGCAGCGATGTTTGGCGGGAAATGCAAATGCATTACCATTTCTGCGGAACAAGTTGCCACATGTTCCAACCCCCAACCTGGCGGGCCAGGAGACTGTGTTCGTCAGACCTCTAACCGTTGACCAACCTGGTGTGAGAGACTCTGTGAGTGTCGCGGGACACTCTCCAGTATAGCTCAATGGATCGCTGAGGTGCACAGACCGTCACACCACGGTAAGGTCCAGTCTCTTCGTGACGATAGAAAGCTACCAATTTATTGGATATACGGGAAAGGAACATATGTCAATTAGACCCCCCCCCCCGGGCATACGGCTTTGTCACTATGGTTGGAAGAAATTGGTTGACAAAACAAAAAATTTCGTTTTGGATAGTCTTCCTCTCTAGTATCACGCTCGTATCCATTCCACCTGGAGATTCTCGTTCCTGACAGTTAACGACCCATGTCACTACCGGCGCTCACAGCGGCACCGCTTTCATTGGGAGCTACCAGCGGAGCAACCACCAGATGAATCCACACATACTGAAAGCTCGAGGTAACTTAAAAATCACGATAACTTGTCACGGCACTGTCCAAGAAAGCAAAATCCGTGAAACTCACTTTGAATCGTCCGAGGTTTGGTTTCAGTTTGCCAGCAAGAATCTTTAGGGCAGTCGACTTCCCGATCCCGTTTGTTCCAACCAGCCCCAGGACTTCTCCTGGTCTGGGCATCGGCAGCCGATGCAGTTTGAAAGCATTAGCACTATACCGATGGGTGACCTCTTTCTCCAGGTTGCTTGGAAGATTGATAATTTGAATTGCTTCAAATGGACACTTTTTCACGCAAATACCGCAACCAATACATAACTCTTCAGATATGAAGGCAATCTTGTCGTTCGGTGTCACTTCGATACACATCCGGCCTACGGAAAACTCACAGAACCTCTGAAATGCTCTTACCCATGCGTACAACCGGGCAAGATTTTTTGCATTCCTGGCGACACTTTTTCGGTTTGCATTTATCATTACTGACAATTGCGATTCTAGTTAGTTTGTCCTGTGTAGGCGGTTTACTCATCGTGTTGTAGGATGCAAGCTGTTGCACCGCGAGAGTGACCCGTCGAAGCAAGTGGTTCGCGAATTTTCCTGTGGAGAGAAAACACAAGAAGACTTTACGGGCAGAAGTTATTAAAGTTCTACGGAGCGGCTGATGCTATTACCACAACCTCGGAATCAATTTATCGTTGGTTCGCCACGTACAAACTGGACCCGCGCGATAAATACCTCATTTTCGACTGTATAGTTATACGCGATCGCTGAATGGCGCTTTAGGTATCACTGATTTGTGTCAACAACACTCCCATCACATGCACGTAGAGACCATGTAGGTCGCTAGGGATTATAATTAAAAAAGCGTTACACCTTACGCAAAGTCGGAGGGCGACTGGGAAAAACGCTTACAAACGTTGTTGCAATGCATATAAACCAAATTAGGGTTCTGTTTATTACTAAAATCCTACGGAGCCTTTCACGGACTCCTCATAGATCACAGAAATGGAGAATCGAAAAGTTGTGGTAATCGTGATATTCCTACGGAGCCTTTTATGAACTACTCATAGGTCATGAAAATGTAAAATCAAAAAGTTGCGATAATAGTGGTATTTGTTAACGTCAATAATACCTACTCAAAGACCAAACCAAATGAGTGCCACCGCACCCTACAGCACGTGACCACGTCAAGCCACGAACTGGCGGATTAGAGTTAGGCCCAGAACAGCTTCCAAGGTCACGGGTTCACTGTCAGGCCCTAGTCTCATGGATTCCGAGACCGCAGGACAGAGCAGGAACGAACGGCTTGACAAAGAAAGCCAATTATCGTCCGGATAATTACATTAGAACCAACTTCTGCATCTCTTTCCAGAGTAGTGACCACCAGCGAAGAAGATAGTTGGCTAGCCAGAGTGAATAAGGTGATGATCAACTCGCTTACTGGTCAAACTTGGAGACTCAACCAGCATTTAACAGGGAATAGGGATGTCACAATGCGCATGTATAAGCATATGAGTAGCGCGTAGTCTTATAAATTTGTTTCCACCGTCATTCAGTAGTGTCTGGATGCCTTCTGGGGAGACCTCTGGCGACTGTCTCCTGCTTGATGTCGTCCTCGGCCGATGCATCAGCGGTTCCGGGGGCATTTATTCACGACCTGGGCAGGGTGGCATTTATTCACGACCTGGTCAGGAAGAAGCCCCTTACGTCTGCATGGATGATACATTTTGTCAAGTTTAGGGCATCTGAATAAGACATCTGAACTTACGACATTTGAATACGACGACCTCAAGTTCGCTTAGAGAACGGGTTTATATCTGCCGGTCCTCGGACGCTTAAATGTCACATCGCACACCCGACGCCTGTCTGGAATAATTTGAGCCTCTAGACGACCCTCGCACTCCAACATTTCTGCACTTTCATAGTGAAATTTCCGCTATCCTTTTCCAGGGATTTCTAGTCCCCCTCGATCCAATGCTTCCGGGCTGGATGTTAGTGTTCAAAACACAGTCGCAACAATAAACAACGGGCTGAGAACCTCTGAGTTCCCAGAATACAGAGATTCACGCAGCTAAAACAGCATTTCGTCAGTGTATCAAAACACTTGGAGCTCGGGTGTGTTCACTGGTAGTTGGTTAGATGGTGTTTGTCCCCCGAACTTGGTAACTGGCTTGCAAGCGTTTCATCCCTAGCCGATGAGACGTCCTCGGCTCGTAGTTGAATGGGTTCTCCCTCGTACCTAGCTGCATTTAAATAGTTCTCGAAGGGCATCTAACATCTCCTCAAGTGATTGGATTATCGGTACATAACTTTCTGGAAATACTATCGGCTCGACCGTGACTTGCGCTGGGTTGCGGTCCATATGTCCCGCATTCCATTGATTGGTTGAATGACTGTTTGCAGCGCTTCAGGTCCATTTTCGATTGATCCTTTCATGGTTTGTGTCGCGTCGTGAACTTCCTATGAATTCGGTGGGTCGTGTTGCTTATTTATATTTCTGGCAATTTCCTATTTCCTGTCTGATTATGCCGTCCTTAGTTTGTATCGTAGGGTCGCACATGGTGAAGCTGCGCACCCACATGTGAGCTCTTCTTTGTGAGATGTAGAAGCCTAGAGCATTAAAAAAGCCGGAGCGAGCTCGCAGCAGGTAAAAATTCAACAATATAAGGTACACAAGAGTACCATGGCAGCATTTCCTAAGGGAGCATAATAAAGTTTGAGATGGGGACTTCCGAAGTGCCATTCTCATATGGACCAGCGGATCCCTGGGTTGTGCGGATTAATGAATAGCTCGTCACATGAAAAGACTGCGACTTTGTCGCGTTGTACGAATTAATTTTGTCTTGCTTGGAAAGGCAAGAGGTTGCAATGAGATTAAGGAGTGCCTTTTTTGGGCAGTCACATGTGCGCCGCTACAATCTTCACCGTTGCGGACCGCCAGAGAGAACAGGAGAGTTTGATATATTAGTAGACGACTCAAAACCTTTGCTTCTTTGAAGCGCACCAGCATCGGATAACATGGGGGATTTTACTTTTTCCGGATTCACGTATGGATACACAGGATCAAGGTATTCACATAAGCTTTCTAGATTGGTCTTGTTTCTGTCGTTCATCAGTTTCATTTGACCTGAAAACAAAAGAAGAATAATGGGCGTAGCGCTTTTCCTTGAATTTTGAGAGAGAAAGACCGTTGAATTTCCAGCGCGAGGACTTGCATAAAAAGCGTCTTGGTATTGGATACAGAGTGAGCCACCGTTGGAGGAAAGTTGTTATAGGCACCAACCGCCCGAAAGGTGAAAAATTGTCGCCCTATAAATATGCGCGCTCAGACGCAGTTGAGCCTCACTTGACCTTATGATAATTCCCACATTTCTTCGCTCACTCTGCCTATGTACTTTTGATCTCCAGTTGGTTTGCTTATTCGTATCTACCACTCACCTTGTCGCAGGGACCTTCCGTTCCGACACTTGTGTGTTGACATGTGTGTCTGTGTACGAATGCACGCTGCCAACCTACTTACTCATGTGCGTTCATGTCCCGTTTACTGAGCTTACCTTGACTCGTTTTCTCATGGGTTACGTGTGATCGCATGTCCAGTGAGAATCACGAGACCATTATTGGAAGGGACGGCCACAACCCACGCTCCTGAGCCATCATTCCGCTCGGCGTTGTTTGGTGTACGGGCGTTGACGCTGCACTGTGCCGAACGGACTTGTGAAACTGTTGACGCTACGAAAGCGAACATTTGCTTACCTTTGTGTAAATGGTACCGTAGAATTACTAACCCAATTCTTCATTTTGATATTCGGGATTGTCGAACCTACGCGGCACTCAAAGTTCCGTATCGGGAACCCCAGCAGACACCGGAAATCCTCTAGGTGTATAGTAGTTAGATCAGCAGAATCAAACCTATCGGCCGAATCTTTTTCAAACAAGGCATAAGTAGATATCAGATCCCTTAAGGTTGATGATTCTCCAGAAGAGAGTGCATGCCCCTGTAGACGCGTTCTATAAACAACGAATTAAAAGGCCGGCAACCACTCTGGGCTGGGTGGAAAACTTGGTCGGCATATTCAAGAATCGGTTTAATGTTGGCCCGATAGATTTTCTGAGGGTCCACGCCACGAAGGTAGGCACGCCGAGCCTGCGCAGAAAGTGTATTGTTAAAGGGACTAGCGGAGCTGCTTACAGAGAGCCTTGACGCCTTAAATTTTCAGTTTGTTAGAGGAAAACGGAGGGTTAGGCGAAAGTGAATTTTAGGGCGGCGCTTAAACTGAGCACCTGGGTCCGGACCACAGAAAACTTATAATTGTTTAAGTTAAGAGCGCACACATTTCTCACACCTATTTGCATAGCGAATTATACGCACACTCAACAGCTCACTCTAAATTCTACGCTCCTCACTTCAACTGTAATTCAAGCCATTCTATATACTTAATTCTTCAACTTTTCTATTTAGCAACACTCGCTTGACACGATAAAATTGAGAGGTCGTACTGGACCCGTTTTCCTTATTTGCCTTTCAAGTGAAGCGTTAAATCCGACAACTGATGGGATGCACTTGCCTAAAATGCAGGTAGCTTACTGCGATATGTATGTTCAACTTCCACTTTGCAATTGATGGGTGGTACAGATAGCCCGATTGTCTAGGGCGAAGGCTTGGATGAAAAAAAGCTACGATCGACGTGAAATAAGCTGGAGAATGGTGTGCAGTTTGTGCCATGTCTGAACCAGCATGGTCAGCCACGACAGAAAGGTCTAGACAAAGAAAGTATGACTAAAGCGCGATTCAGCAGGCGAACATAACCGAGCATCAGACAGTTCCATCCTGTACTCTCTTAAACAAAGCAGGAATCTTTCGACACTTGTGCCTTTCAGGTGAACGACAGCCACTGACCGACAAGAACAAAACCGACCCGGGAAACTTGGGCAAAAGCCTCGATCCTGTGTATCAATCCGTGAATCCGTGAATGTGAATCCGTGACAGAGCCCAGTTGTGCTGAAGAGAGCCAATATCCTGAGTCTGATTGGACGGGGAAGACAGGCGAGCACAACTGTGCCATGAGAGACAACGCTGGGGAGCGGATGGATATCAGAAAGCGGGATGAAGAAAAAAAGAAGTAACTATGCTAAATTAATGTCTATCTATGAACTCAGTATTCGGGCAAATTTTTAACGTTTTGCAGATGGCCATACCTCCAGGTGTTGACTGCACAAGACACCACGGTCTAATAAGATACTTTCGAATCCCTTGGGCGTTTAATGAGCAGTGCTACACACTTCTTTCGCTTGTGATATCCATGTCGGCGAAAACCACTGCACGATAAGAGAAAACCCAACCAGGGAAGTTTTGTGCGAAGGCCTTGGTCCTATGTAACCATCGGTTAATTTGTTACTCCGTGAAATACCGGCACTAGAAATTGGTTTTGCTACATCAGGTGGACGACCTTGAAAGAGCCGCAGCCGGTGTCTAGTCAAATGTGATTTCAGTGCCCGTAATGTGTTCTGGCGCACCCAAACTTGACTGATGATGTTCATTCCCGAGAGGAAACTTAGTCATTCCCGTGACACACAAGGAAACCTTATCGGCTTAGACTTTGCAGCGGATGATGGACCTGACTCAATTTCACGAGAATGGATATACTCCAGATGGGCGAAGTAATTCATCAGTTTTGTGTTTACACCATGATATAAAATTGTTCTATAGAAGTGACAAAATCCCCTCAGTGAAGTACCCACTAGATGATGCTTTGAGGTCACGCCTAGATAAATAAATAGGATATATTGCGTAATGTGCCATGCTATCACCTAAATTTTTAAATATTTAGTCAGAAGATTTTGTAGGACACTTTGAATTCACTATAAAGCCACGAGCCGTGTATGTTGATCGGGTTTGAATATCCGAAAGTGCCAGCCAAATTGGAGTCCTGAAAGCGCTTGGTGCTTGTCCCTTTATTAACTTGTGTAGGAAAGAACTAGCCTGTGTCTCCGAGCCTTACTCAGCATTTTCGTATTTCTTAGCATTTTAAGCATTAAGCCCATTACATTAGAAATAATGTTCGGATGAACCTTAGTCATCCACGCCCATTCTCGTGGCGTGCTCGACCGATCATGACATGTATTCGTTCACCTTGGCCAAACTCCTGATAACGGCGTGGTAGCGTGATACACTACCAATGGATGCTGGCATATAATCCATGCAAAATCTGTGGAATTCAGACAGGCATATGGGAATATGACTG